ACCGAGACTGAGACCAGCACTGACACCGGCACCAGCACTGGCACTGAGAATGGCACCGCTCCAGGACCGAGACTGGGACAGGGACTGGCACCGCTCCAGGACTGAGACTGAGACTGGGAGAGGGACTGGCACCGCTCCAGCACCGAGACTGGGACAGGGACTGGCAACTCTCTGGGACCAAGACTGGGACAGGGATTGGCACCGCTCCACCACTGAGACTGAGACAGGGACTGGCGCCACTCCAGGACTGAGACTGCGACAGGGACTGTCACTGTTCTGGAACCAAGCTGGGACAGGGACTGGCACTGCTCCAGGACCAAGATTGGGACCAGCACCGTTTCGGGATTGAGATTGACACTAGAACCAGAATCAGTGCCGGGAGTGCTCTGGGACTGAAACAAGAGACCAAGGCTGGCACCGGGACAGGGATCAGTGCCAGGATCACTCTGGGACAGGCGCTGGGTTCGGAAACAGGACTGGAAGTGGGATTGGCACTGGGATCCCTCCGGGACCTCTGCGTTCGCTCCGGGGAGCTTTGGCTGAGCCCCCAGGCAGGACGGGGAGGGACCCCTGGGCAGGGCGGGACCCCCTCGGTTCACATTGTTCCAGTGCAGCCATCCTGGTCCATATGGTCCAGTTTGTATGATCCCAGACTCTGGTCCTAATCCATATGGTCCCAGCCTGTGAAATCCCGGTCCATGTGATCCCAGTCTGTACAATCCCAGCCCATACAATCCCAGACTACAAGGTCCCAGTCCACATGATCCCAGTGTGTATGACCCTGCATGCCACGCACTCCGAGGGTCTGGAATTCCAGTTCCCAGCCAGGAAAAGATGTTCCTGCCCTTGAAGGCAAAGCTCTTAAGAAGGGGCCAAAAGCCAAGTGGAGCAAGATCCTGCAGTGACATTTCACTGCCAGCCGTCAGAACTTCACCCACGGTTGTTGTAGCTCCTGCACGGGGAATTAAATCAGGGGAGGGTCTTTGGTGGCAGCTCAAGGAACACACTGAGAGAGATTTGTCCTCCCTGGGGGATTTCTCCTCCCTGGTCTCCATCTTCAGCCCCTGGCTCAAGGGAGACACAGAGAGAAAGAGAGCAGGCAAAGCAAGGCAGGAGAGAAAGGAGGACACAAACACAATCCGCTGAGAAGATGCAACTCTGCTAACAGAACTGCAAAGGACTAAAAATGAATGGGACAGAAAGAAATAATACTGACACTCGTAGGGTCTCTCCCCAGTGTGGATCCTCTGGTGCTTGATCAGCCTGGAGCTGCTCTGAAACCTCTTCCCACACTCCCCACACTCGTAGGGTCTCTCCCTTGTGTGGGTCCTCTGGTGGCTGGTCAAGTTGCAGCTAAACCTGAAGCTCTTCCCACACTCCCCACACTTGTATGGCCGTTCCCCCGTGTGGGTGCGTTGGTGGATGACAAGGGAGGAGTTGTACCTGAATCCCTTCCCGCAGTCAGGACACTGGAAGGGCTTCTCCTCCGTGTGAATCCGATAGTGCTGGAGGAGATGGGAGCTGGTCTGGAACCTCTTCCTGCATTGATCACACTCGTAGGGCCTCTCCCCAGTGTGGGTCCCCTGGTGCCTGATCAGGTTGGCCCTCCGGCTGAAGCTCATCCCACACTCGGAACACTCGAAAGGCCTCTCCCCGGTGTGGCTCCTTTGGTGCTTGCTCAGGCTGGAGCTGGTCTGAAACCTCTTCCCACACTCCCCACACTCGTAGGGCCGTTCCCCAGTGTGCGTCCTCTGGTGCACGATCAGACTGGAGCTCTGGCTAAATCTCTTCCCACATTCCCCACACTCATAGGGCTTCTCTCCAGTGTGGCTCCTCTTGTGCAGGATCAGGTGGTAGCTCACACTGAATCTCATCCCACACTCCCCACACTCGTAGGGCTTCTTCCCGGTGTGGGTCCTCTGGTGGCTGATCAGGCTGGAGCCGTCGGTGAAGCTCTTCCCACACTCCCCACACTGGTAGGGCCTCTCCCCAGTGTGGATCCTCTGGTGCTTGATCAGCCTGGAGCTGCTCTGAAACCTCTTCCCACACTCCCCACACTCGTAGGGTCTCTCCCCAGTGTGGATCCTCTGGTGCCTGGTCAGGTGGAAGATCTGGACGAAGCTCTTCCCACACTCACCACACTCGTAGGGTCTCTCCCTTGTGTGGGTCCTCTGGTGGCTGGTCAAGTTGCAGCTAAACCTGAAGCTCTTCCCACACTCCCCACACTTGTATGGCCGTTCCCCCGTGTGGGTGCGTTGGTGGATGACAAGGGAGGAGTTGTACCTGAATCCCTTCCCGCAGTCAGGACACTGGAAGGGCTTCTCCTCCGTGTGAATCCGATAGTGCTGGAGGAGATGGGAGCTGGTCTGGAACCTCTTCCTGCATTGATCACACTCGTAGGGCCTCTCCCCAGTGTGGGTCCCCTGGTGCCTGATCAGGTTGGCCCTCCGGCTGAAGCTCATCCCACACTCGGAACACTCGAAAGGCCTCTCCCCGGTGTGGCTCCTTTGGTGCTTGCTCAGGCTGGAGCTGCTCTGAAACCTCTTCCCACACTCCCCACACTCATAGGGTCTCTCTCCTGTGTGGATCCTCTGGTGCGTGATCAGTCTGGAGCTGCAGCTGAAGCTCTTCCCACACTCCTCGCACGTGTGGGGCTTCTCCCCATCATGGAGCTGCTCCTGGAGCCCCAGCTCCGAGCTCTGGCTCCATCTCCGGCCGCCTTCCCGGCCCAGGCTGGCTCTTTCCCCCTCAGATCCCCGCCATCTGCGTTTGCAGCCCCTCCTCGTGCGGCATCTCCGGGGCTTTTCCTCCCCGCTGGGTTCCTGCGCCGTGGAGCCGCTCCAAACGGCCTCTGCCACCAGGTTCTGCCGCGGGGATTTGTCCTCCCTGCTCTCCGTGCTCAGCTCCTGCTCTGGGGGAGGAAGGACAAGGACAGGATGGGATGCACAGGCAGCAGGGCTGTGCTGCAGCCGGGGCCGTGCTGGGCTGGCAGATGGAGCAGCACAGAGGGGAAAGGGGCACTGACTTCCTCCTCACCTCCCTCCGTGTCCCGGGCCATCCTCCTCGTCCTCATAGCAGCCCGGGGTTGGCAATGGGAAATCCTATTTTGGGGAAAACAAGGGATGAGCACGTTGAGATTGAAGGTCTCCCTGCCCTACTCCACCACTAGATGTCACCGGCCATCTGGGTTCCATAAAAGCCTCCCAAACACCAAGGCTGAGCTCTCAAAAAGCCTCCCAGCAATTCCCCGTCCCCGCTCCCTCCCCTCTGGTCTTCGGGGTTCCCCCTGTCCCAGCTGCTGGGGTCCCGCTTGCATTGGGGGTCCCCCTTCTCCTCGGTGCCCGCCCTCCCCAGGCTGCTGGGAGTCCCGGCAATCCCAAACGCTGCCCCCTCTTCGCTCTGCCCATTCGGGGGTGCCGGGGCTTTTTGGGCTCCCTGTTGGGCTCCCTTCTCCCCTCACTCTCTGCTCTGGGCTGCAGGGGCTCCAAGCAGTCCCCCCTGCCCCTCTCCAGGCTCTTGAGGCTCCCGCCAATGGCGGCGCTCCCCCCTCTCTGGGCTCCCCACTTTGGGCTCCTGCGGGACACAGGGCTCTGCTCCTCCAGGCTGCCTCTGCCGGCAGCCGCCACCACCACCCCCCCGATGTCCCCCCCAGGGGCCTTTTCCGCTCAGCCTTGCACTTCTTCATTCTCCAAACATCCCCCCCAAAAAAAACCCAAACCAGGGACCCCTCGGGATATCTGGGCCGAGCTCCCCCTCCCCGCTCACCTGCGCGATGGGGGGGCGATCATCCCACAGGTAGGGGCTGCGAATGCAGGGAGGGCTCGACCCCGTGCTTCCTTCAGCTCAGCCTTGACCCGCCTTTGTCCCTCCTCTTCCTCTTCCTACCCCTCCTGCTATTCCACACCCCAGCCTTCTCCTAATCCTTCCCCTCCCTAACCACACCTCCTTCTCTTTCTGTGGCTGCTCTCTCTCTGCCTTCCCCCTCCTCTTCCATCTCCCCACCGACACTCCTCCTCCCTAATTCCACCTCCTTCTTCCACTTCATCCCTCCCCCTCCCGTTCCCTCCTCCTCCAGCAGCAGCCACACCCTCACTGCCCCGTTCCCGGAGCCCTCGCCACCCGCGGCAGGAGCGGGGATGGAGCCGGGACAGCTCGGCATGGGCAGCGCGGGGCTCTCGGCTGCTCCCAGCCGCTGCGGGCGGGATGGGGGTACTGAAACCACACTGGGAACAACTGGGACCATGCTGGGGAGAAGTGGGACCACCCTTGGGGCAACTGGGAGTGAGTGGGGCCATGCTGGGAGGGACTGGGATCATCTGGGGAGTGACTGGGACTGGAGCAGGGGCAACTGGGTCCAGCTGGGACCATACTGGGAGTGTCTGTAACCACAGTGGAGCCATGGAAGCACACTGGGAACAGCTGGGAATTGCTGGGGTTTTTGGAGAGAATTATTGGGTTTGGGGGGTTTGAGGATGATTTTGGGGGGTTTAGTGGATTTTCAGGAGTTTTATTGGCACTTTGGGGGGGTGTTTTTCTGCAGGTGTTTGGGGGTTTAGTGAAATTTTTGTTTTTTTTTTTTTTAATTTTGAGAGGAGTTACTGGGATTTGGTGGGATTCTCTGGAATTTTTGGGGGTTTCATTGGAATTTCTGGGGGATTTTGGACACATGGTGCAATTTTATTGGAATTGTGGGGGCATTTAGTGGGATTCTTTGAGAATTTGGGATTTTGGGGGGTTTTTTGGGTGTTGCCATGATTTCTTTGGGTCTTGGAGGGATTTTGTGGGACTTTTTATGGTTTAGGGGACATTTTGGGGGGATTTGTGGGGTTTAATTGGGATTTTGGGTTTTTTTTTGGATTTCAAATGATTTTGTGGGCTTTTTTTGGCATTCTAGGTGTTCTAATGGGATTTTGTGAGATTTAATATGGATTTTGTGGATTTTATTGGGACTTTGGGGGCTTTTAAGGAGATTTTGGTGCCTCTCACCCCTTCCTGATACCTTAGGACAACCCCAAAGGCCCCCAGAATTCCACTAACACCCCCCAAAAATACAAATAAAACCCTCCAAAACCCCAGAGAATCCCACAAAATCCCAGTGAAACACACCAAAATTCAAAAAAACTCCCCAAAATTTCAATAACCCCCCGAAAAAAACCCGACAAGCCCAATAAAATCCCCCAAAATCCCCCAAATCCACAACCCGCCCAAAACCCAATAATTCTCTCCAAAAACCCAATAATTCTGTCCTAAAACCCAATAATTCCCCATAAATTCCCAAAAAAATCCCCCAAAGCCCAAAAAAGCCCTCCCAAAATCCCCAGTAGCCCTCCCAAAACCCCCCCAAAATCCCCACAAATGTCCCCAAACTCACTGGGTCCATCCTGGATCAGGGGCACCGGCCGGTGGAACAGGAGCCACTTCAGGGGGCCCTCGGAGCTTTGTGGGGAGGGGGCACCATGGGAGACCCCCAGAAGCGGGGGGGTGGAACCCCTGTTGTGCCCCCTCGCCTCGAAACCCCCAGACCCCGATTCAGGGTGGGCCTGGGACCCCCCGGGACCCCCAAATCTCCCCCGGGGCTCCTCCAGGAACCCCAAACACCCCAGGCCCCCAAGGTTGACCCAGGACCACTCTGGACCCCCAGAGCCTCCCCAGGACCCTCAGACCCCCCCCAGTTCCCCACAAAATTGACCCCAGACCCACCTGAGACCCCCCCCCAAATCCCATCGGACTGCCCCAAATCCCCCTCGGACTCCTCAATCCCCCCAAACCCTAGGAAATCCCCTCAGGCTCCCCCAAATTCCCTCCAAACCCCCAAAATTTCCCCAAAATTCCCAATTCCCCTAAAATGCCCCAAGCCCCCAAAATTCCCCCAAACCTTGCCCCAAAATCGCCCCAAATTCCCCCAAAATTCCCCAAGTTCACCACAATTCCCAAAAATTTCCTAAGAGGGGTCTCGAGGGGGGTCCTGGGGGGACTTTGGGGTTCCAGGGTGGTCCTGGGCCAACCTTGGGGGGCTTTTCAGGGGGATTTGGGGTTCCTGGAGGGGTTCCCGGGGGAGATTTGGGGGTCCCTGGGGGGTCCCAGGTTCCCCCCCTCCCGTTTTTGGGGGTCTCCCATGGTGCCCCCTCCCCACAAAGCTCCGAGGGCCCCCTGAAGTGGCTCCTGTTCCACCGGCCGGTGCCCCTGATCCAGGATGGACCCAGTGAGTTTGGGGACATTTGTGGGGATTTTGGGGGGGTTTTGGGAGGGCTACTGGGGATTTTGGGAGGGCTTTTTTGGGCTTTGGGGGATTTTTTTGGGAATTTATGGGGAATTATTGGGTTTTAGGACAGAATTATTGGGTTTTTGGAGAGAATTATTGGGTTTTGGGCGGGTTGTGGATTTGGGGGATTTTGGGGGATTTTATTGGGCTTGTCGGGTTTTTTTCGGGGGGTTATTGAAATTTTGGGGAGTTTTTTTGAATTTTGGTGTGTTTCACTGGGATTTTGTGGGCACAAAGCTCCGAGGGCCCCCTGGAGTGGCTCCTGTTCCAACGGCCGGTGCCCCCTGATCCAGGACGGCCCCAGTGAGTCTGGGGGGTTCTGGGGGGATTTTGGGGGGCATTTTTGGGATTTGGGGCATTTTGGGGCAATTTTGGGAGAGTTTTTGGGGATTTTCTTGGGGCTTTCTTAGGGATTTGGAGGATTTTGGTGGAAGTTTAGGAGGTATTATTGGGGTTTTAGAGAGAATTATTAGATTTTGGGGCCTTATGGGATTTTGGGGGTTTTGTGGATTTGGGGGGTTTTGGATTTTGGGGGATTTTATAGGGGTTTGGGAGGGTTGTTTTTTTGAGGGGATTTAATGAAGTTTTAGGGAGTTTTTTTGAGTTTTGGTGGGTTTCACTGGGATTTTGTGGGATTCTCTGGGGTTTTAGAGGATCCTATTGTAATTTCTTGAGGAATTTGGGATTTTTAGTGGAATTTGTGGGGCATTTGGGGGTCTGGGGACTTTGGAGTTGTCCCAGGGTTTGTGGAAGGGCTGAGAGGCATCAAAATCTCCTTAAAAGCCCCAAAAGTCCCATTAAAACCAAGGAAACCCCAACTAAATCCCACAAAATCCCATTAGAACAACCTAGAATCCCAATAAATGCCCACAAAATCTTTTGAAATCCCAATAAATCCCCAAAATCCCAGTTAAACTCCCCAAATCCCTCCAGAAATGTCCCCTAAACCATAAAAAGTCCCACAAAATCCCCCCCAAGACCCAAATAAATCAGAACACCCAAAAAACCTCACAAACCCCCCCCAAATCCCACCAAAACTCCCAAAAAACCAAATCCCCAATGAATCCAACTAAATGCATCCACAATTCCAATAAATGCCTCAAAATCTCCCAAAATCCCAATAAAACTCTCAGAATTTGAGAATCCCAAAAAACCCCAACAAAATCCCAGTAAAACCTTCCAAAAGAGAAAAAAAAAACACCAAAATTTTCAATAAACCACCAAACAGCCCCAGAAAAACACTCCCCCCTACAAAGCACCAATGAAACCCCCAAAATCCAAACCCTCCCAAAATCCACAAAACCCCCCAAAATTCCCCAACTTGTCCCAGCATGTCTGTAGTCATTTCCAGGCACTGCCAGTGGCCCCAGGAAGGTGTTAGTTATCCCAGTGTGATCCCCAATCATGCCCAGAATATCCCAGTTGCCTCCAGCATGCATCCCAGTCCTTCCCAGTTCCTCCAGTTTTCTTGCAGCGTGATCCCAGTTTCTCTCAGGTGCTCCCAGTATTAGTCCAGTCCCTCCCAGTGTGATCCAAAGATGAGCCCAGTTTGCTCCCAGTCTCTGCCAGTATGAACCAGTTGTGCTCCACATGGTTCCAGTTGCTCTCTTTCACCCTCCCTTTTGTTCCAGTCACTCCCAGTTATCTCCCAGTGTATCCCAGTTCCCTCCAGCATGTTGCCAGTCACTCCCAGTTCCTTCCAGTATGATCCCATTTGCTCCCAAGCACTCCCAGTCAGCCTCAGTTTAGTGGCACTCACTGTCAGCATAATCCAAGTTACCTCCAGCATGATCCCAGTATAAGCCCAGATGTTTCCAGTCAACCCCATCATGCAGCCAGCCATTCCCAGTTGTTGCCAGTTGTTCCTGGCAGGATCCCAGTCACTCACAACTGCTCCCAGTCACCGTCAGCATAATCCCAGTCACTCCCAGTATATCCCATTTGCCCCTATAATGGACTCAATTGCCCCCCACAGGCTCCTACTCACTCCCAGTATGATCCCAGTATGATCCCAGTACAAATCCAGTACAGTCCCAGTCACTCCCAGTATGTTCCCAGTAGAGCCCAGTCCCTGGCAGTGCTGCCAGTGCTGGGATCCCACAGCCCTCTGTGCGTTCCCTGTCCCTCCTGTGCTGAGAGGAGCCCCAAGGGCTGGCAGTGGCCAGGCAGGGTCCCCAGCAAGACCCAGTTTGGGTGTTGGGCCCCCAGTTGTCCCAGTTTGCCTCTCCTTTTGCCCGGGCCGGGTTCTCCCCGCCCGCCCGCAGCGGCTGGGAGCAGCCGAGAGCCCCGCGCTGCCCATGCCGAGCTGTCCCGGCTCCATCCCCGCTCCTGCCGCGGGCTGCGAGGGCTCCGGGAACGGGGCAGCGAGGGTGTGGCTGCTGCTGGGGGAGGAGGAGGAGGGAACGGCAGGGATGAAGGAGGGGGACAAGGAGGCGGGCTTAGAGAGTAGGATGCGCGGAATGAGGGATGAAGGCGGAGAGAGAGCAGTGATGGAGGGTGGAGAAGGAGGTGTGGTTAGGGAGGAGAAGGGAGGGAAAGGGAGGGAAGGAACAGAAGAAGAGGGGCATAAAACACAGGAGAAGGAGGCGGGGGGGGATGGCAGAGGAGGAACGGAGGAAGAGGAGGGACAAAGGCGGGTCCAGGCTGAGCCGAGGGAAGCACGCGGTCGAGCCCTCCCTGCATTCGCAGCCCCCACCTGTGGGATCATCGCCCCCCATCGCTCAGGTGAGCGGAGAGGGGAGCTCGGCCCAGATATCCCGAGGGGTCCCGAAGCCCTGAACACCAAAAGGGAGGGAGCACGACAAGGGGAACTCCTGGGGGTGGAGGGTTTTTCAGGGCTGAATCTTGGTGTTTGGGAGGTTTTTCTGGAGCCCAGGTGGCCGGTGACTTCTCGAGATGGACTTGGGCAGAGGGACCTTCAAAGTCAACGTGCTCATCCCTTGTTTCCCCCAAACCAGGATTTCCCATTCCCAACCCCTGGAAGTCTGTGAGGAAGATGAAAATGCCCCAGCACACTGAGGCAGGTGAGGAGGAAGTCAGTGCCCCTTTCTTCTCTGTGCTGCTCCATCTCCCAGCCCAGCATGGCCCCGGCTGCAGGACAGCCCTGCTGCCTGTGCATCCCATCCTCTCCTTGTCCTTCCTCCCCCAGAGCAGGAGCTGAGCATGGAGAGCAGGGAGGACAAATCCCCGCGGCAGAACCTTGTGGCAGAGGCAGTTTTGAGCGGCTCCACGGCGCAGGAACCCAACGGGGAGGAAAAGCCCCAGAGATGCCACACGAGGAGGGGCTGCAAACGCAGATCGCGGGGATGTGAGGGGGAAAGACCCAGCCGGGAAGGCAGCCGGAGATGGAGCCAGAGCTCGGAGCTGGTGGTCCATGAGCAGCTCCATGATGGGGAGAAGCCCCATACCTGCGTGGAGTGTGGGAAGAGCTTCAGGTGGAGCTCCCACCTCATCCTGCACCAGACGACTCACACTGGGGAGAGGCCCTACGAGTGTGGGGAATGTGGGAAGAGCTTCAGCAGGAGATCCAGCCTGATCCAGCACCAGAGGACCCACACTGGGGAACGGCCCTATGAGTGTGATCAGTGCAGGAAGAGGTTTCAGGCCAGCTCCCATCTCCTCAAGCACCAGCGCACGCACACAGAGGAGAGGCCCTTCCGCTGCCCCGACTGCGGGCAGGGCTTCAGGCGAAACACCCATCTTGTCAGGCACCAGCGCATCCACACTGGGAAACGCAGATCGCGGGGATCTGAGGGGGAAAGACCCAGCCTGGGCTGGGAAGGCGGCCGGAGATGGAGCCAGAGCTCGGAGCTGGTGGTCCATGAGCAGCTCCATGATGGGGAGAAGCCCCACACGTGCGTGGAGTGTGGGAAGAGCTTCAGAAGCAGCTCCCACCTGGTCAGGCACCAGAGGATCCAGACTGGGGAACGGCCCTACGAGGGTGATCAGTGCAGGAAGAGGTTTCAGGCCAGCTCCCATCTCCTCAAGCACCAGCGCACGCACACAGAGGAGAGGCCCTTCCGCTGCCCCGACTGCGGGCAGGGCTTCAGGCGAAACACCCATCTTGTCAGGCACCAGCGCATCCACACTGGGGAGAGGCCCCACGAGTGTGAGGAATGTGGGAAGAGCTTCAGGCACAGTTCCACCCTGATCCTGCACCAGAGGATCCACACTGGGGAGAGGCCCTACGAGTGTGGGGAGTGTGGGAAGAGCTTCAGCCACCGTTCCAGCCTGATCATCCACCAAAAGATCCACACTGGGGAGAGGCCCTACGAGTGTTCCAAGTGTGGGAAGGGGTTTCGGATCCGCTCCCATCTCCTCCGACACTATCAGAGTCACACAGAGGAGAGACCCTTCTGCTGCCCCGACTGCGGGAAGGGATTCAGGGAGAACTCCAACCTCATCAGGCACCGGCGCATTCACACTGGGGAGAGGCCCTACGAGTGT